TAAGCAGGTTGTAGTGCGATGACACCTCAATTCCAATGGGGGCATTGACAAAGTATGAATGAACAGATACTACATTATATTGTAATAGAGTAAGTAGTACTAAAAAAACATTTATATTCACGTAATTATTTCATTATTAATTTCATAATAATTATAATTATAATTCTGTAGATCGGTTATTGCAAATCAAGATTGGAATAATGATCATTTATGAAAGGACTTTGTTGTGGGATGCATAGACAAGTATTTGTAATACTAGTAATTGTATACGCGCACAACTGTCTGCATAAATTAAATGTTTACGAATTATTAGATATAGAATAGAGAACTGCCTGCATTTACGTAAATACATTTAAATCACGTACGTACAAATTGTATGCGTATAAAACTGCCTAAATACACTGAACGAAAATGTATGAAATGATGTTGTATATAGATGTGAAAGAGATATTAGACCCAAGAATGAGAACCCTAGAGTCCAAGAAGGATACGCAGACCAAGAAGGTGACCCGAGCCCAAAGAAGGCGACCCAGAGAAGGCAAGGCAATCCGGACCAAGACAATTCTGACCGATGTATGCAACCTGGGGCCGGCCCAAGGTACCCAACTAGGCTTTGACCCGTTCTCACGACCTATATACCTTGATTTTATCTAAGTTTAATTTGTTAAACTTTCCTGGTATAAATTGCTTATGTCTTAAATAATTAGACAAATCATGTTATATTCTTACAACACTCTTGTAGCGTTATCCACTCAATATTATTACTACAATTATCTCTTGATCTTTGTCTATGTTGTAACTATTAGCTCTAGCATAATTATTCCAAGGCTGAACCCCAACCCAAAGGGCGCTCTAGCATAATTAATCAAAGGAATTGTAGAGAGAAAGAAAATAAGAGATAAAGCAAGAGTATAATTCTTTATCCAACTTCTTCATCCAATACAAGGGGTACGTACATCTGCATATGTATAGTGAAAGGTTACAAATCTACATAATGAGCTATAAATGTGTCCGTTACAGACATTACAAATATTGTCCACTAAATACATTTTATAACAGATAATATATATATATATATATATATATATATATATATATATATATATATATATATATATATATATATATATATATATATATACATATATATATATATATATATATGAATCTCCCGATATGCATTTATGGAAATTAGAATGGAAATCTCCCTAAATGCAATTAATGTGATTATAATGGAATTACACAGAGCCATGTATGCATTGTTCCCTGAACCCCGGGGAAGTGGATGATGAATTGGTAAGTTTGAAATGCAAACTAGTTTAGTCCACGATTCTTCAACTCCAAACTCATTCATCATCCAAACTTCCATTTGATGTTTGTGATGAAAACCTGCAAAAAGCAATCCTCTTGACTCACCTATACAAATGGCAGCTCCATGTTCATGGCTAGGTAATGCTATAGCTTTGGCTGTTTCGGTGGTTAAATTAAAAGAAATTATATTCCAATTCCAGTCACTATCATTTAAGTTGTTGTTGCACCAGTTGAGACTACCACTCGCAAACACAGCAATTCTAGGATAAACAAACCCACTACTAAACCCTCTATCACTTCTTTTCCATGACCCATGCTTAAAACTATACACCAAAATCACATTTTCATCACCATTATTCTCCGCATAATAAACATAAACAACCTTGTAGTCCTCATTATGCATGTCGTATCCAAATCCAATATGCTAATAATGTAGCCCGACCGCCAGACATCTGGGATTGTCTTGATGTTTCCATTTAATGAAGGGTTCCAAATCATTATTTGATATGGTTTAGCAGGAAAGCAAAACAGACCATTGCAGGAACCCAAGAATTCGAATCCACCTTCAGGGATTAAGACCGAGCGGTCAAATATAATAAACTTGCGAAATGATGATTGCTTGTTTTCTGTAATAGAAAACAAGAACATATAGCTAATCTGATTTACACTGCTATATGTCATGACCTTAATATCCTTTTTTGAATGAAAATTTAGGTGCAATTTGACAAATTCTAGAGATGATATTAAAGCACGCCAAACTTTTGAAACACACCTAAATTGCAGCAGAGATTTCATAGGCAGCCTTTTGAGGATTTCTGTGATTATATCTTGATTCAGATTTTGTTGTGGCATCTGACGCTTAGGAGTAGGGAATGGCATCCTGATTGTGTGTCTTATATAAAAATTCCATTTGTTATCTGAAAATAAAAAATATATATATATATAAATATATATTTTAACCGAAGTCTGATCTATTTCTCACTATCCACAAGAAATTTAAATGTCACTACGTACAAAAGGAATAAAAGCAATACAAATTACAAAAAGATTCCAATAAATATTGCTAGTGTTCCATCATTGATTAATTTCCGTGTGTATATTATTAGAGAGTTAATTTAACTATATATATATATATATATATATATATATATATATATATATATATATATATATATATATATATATATATATACACTAGCATTTTGTACGCGCGATGCGCGAAAACTTATGCCAATATTAAAATATTTGTAAGTAACAAAATTTAAAAAATAGTTAAAATTATGTTTTGTAATTTCTTAAAGTGATGATACTTTTGAATTATCATATATTTGAATAATATAGTGATAAAAAAAAATATATTTTTATATAATAATAATTTACAAATAATACTAAGCTAACACTCACATATATGATATATTGATATGGATACACAAATAAAATACATACATATTATATATATATATATATATATATATATATATATATATATATATATATATATATATATATATATGAAACACATATATAATTTAACATTCATATAAATATTTAATTAAAATAATAAAATATAATTTATAATTAAATTAATTGTTTTATGATAATTTTAATAAAATGATAATTAAAAATAGGAAAAAGATATGATAGATGTAGGTGTATGGTAAGATTGGTAGATATATTAAAAACTAACGGTGTTATAACGGTGTAAGGGTGATTTTGTCCAATGCAAATGAATGTACAACAATTAAAGCAAAATGTATATATTTATTAGCATATAAAAAAGGGACAAAAATCAAGGACATAACTTGTATCGACACTTATTATGTTTTTTAGATATAGATATATATATATATATATATATATATATATATATATATATATATATATATATATATATTTATATTCACTTCACTAATATTTATAGCCTTTCCTTCACCCACCTACCTAACCATCAAGCACCACCTACCTCACCTACGATCACTATTTCCTATATTCCTATTTATTTAACCTATTCCCTATTTATACACCACAACCTATTTATTTATTCCTACTATCACCTACCTATTTAATCCATACCCAACTATCAATGCTCCACAAATGTCTACTTACCCATTACAACATATGCATCTATTGCATTCATATTTCTTTTCCTTTTTTTACTATTATTTCTAACTTAATCCCATCTACCTAACCACAAGGCCATCAATAAGGACTTACATAGTTACAATATTACTTGATACTTTCATCAATTGTCACTACATTTTTATTTCTTTATGAAGAAAAAAAAAACAGTGCAAATTAGTTTCATATTTAAAAAATTAATAAATAAATAGATTTTAACACATTTAATTGCTTTCTAATGAAAATGAAAACTTGAAAATTTTTTAGATGTATAGTGTGTGTGCGTGTGTGTGTGTGTACGTGTATATATATATATATATATATATATATATATATATATATATATATATATATATATATATATATATATATATATACATATATATATATATATATATATACATATATATATATATATATATATATATATTGAGAGAGAGAGAGTGAGAGAGAGAGAGAAATGAAGAGAGAGATAGAGATAGAGAGAGAATTGTATCAAAATAGCTCAAAAGCTATTTGATGTTTGGTAGTTTTTTTTTAATCACTTTATCACTTTTAATGGCAAAAAAGTTTGTAAATGCGGGTGTATTAAGTAACAAAAATTTAGAAAAAATAGAAACTGTATTCAATAAAACATGTTTCGAAATGGATTTGTCAATGTTTTCACAATTTCAATTTCTTTTCAAAAAAAAACAATTTTTTTGTCGTTCTAATTAAAAAAAAAATCAACTCTTATACCTAGTAAAGTGGATGAGACTAGAGATTACCTTCTCAATCTAAGGAGTTGCGATGACGATTGAAGAGATCGGGTTGATAGATGTATAGAAACTTTTTTTCCAATCGAGAGACTAGAGTTAAAAGAAATTGAGAGCGAGAGAGAGAGAGATAAAAAGGATTTCGGTGCTTAGAAAGAGAGAGAGAGAGAGAGAGAGAGAGAGAGAGAGAGAGAAAGAAAGAGAGCGGAGGGTAGAGGGGGATAATGGTAAAGAACATATAAAGGGTTAGGGTTAGACATTTGGACGGGATGAAATTGGGTTGGCCAACGAAAACAAATTCCATATAGAGAATTGGGCCGATTTGTTTTCCATTTATAAAATGTAATGAGTATAAATAATGGAAATATATTAAATGGAAACGGAGGATTAACAAAGAGGATTTTGGTGCTTACAGAGAGGGAGAGAGAGAGAGAGGGGCGGGAGGGTAGATGAGGGATTGCCTTGGGCTTACAGATATATAGATTTTAGCTCCATGCATGCAATAAATTAAAACCCCCCCTCCACGAGAGAAATTTACCCCATATTCATGTTTCAAACTTTCGTCTTTGTCTCCATTCTTCTATCGTCAAAATTACAATTCATAATGTATTTGGCGTTAAAACATTACTGTCATAATGTATAGAAAACAGTGTGTCTGTGCGGGTACATTTTAAATTGCAATGAAATTTAACTTAGAATCATTTTGCATTCACAAAAATCAATAGTTCTCAACAACCATTGCAAGTTCTCAACAACAATGCTAAAATACAAATAACACAATAACCACTACTGGTAGCGCACTTCATCTATCATCATTTACGGACCGATCATGGCCGGTGAAACAAGGGTCTCCACGTAACTAGTTACCATATAACCATGAGCATAGCAGATATTAAAATTCTTACCCCCTTTAGCATTAGGCCTATGGAGCTTTAGCTGATGTCCAACCTTGATTAGAATATCCCCATTTTCAAAAACATGTGCAATTGCGAGTCTAGCATTACATATATCCATGTATGCAGTGTTCTCAACACCCCGGGGAAGTGGATGATGAAATGGTAAGTTTGAAATGCAAACTAGTTTAGTCCACGATCCTTGAACTCCATACTCATTCATCACCCAAACTTCCATTTGACGTTTGTGATGAAAACCTGCAAAAAGCAATCCTCTAGATTCACTTATACAAATAGCGACCCCATGTTCATGCCTGGGTAAAGCTATAGCTTTAGCAGTTTCAGTGGTTAAGTTGAAAGAAATTATGTTCCAATTCCAGTCACTACCTTGAAAGTTGTTGTTGCACCAGTTGAGACTACCACTCACAAACACAGCAATTCGTGGATTAACAAACCCAGTGGTACTAAGCACTCTATCACTTTGTTTCCATGACCCATGCTTAAAATTGTACACCATAAGAACATTCTCATCACCATAGTTAGCACAATAAGCATAAACAACCTTATAGTCGTCATTATGCTCGTCGTATCCAAATCCAAAATTGCCCATGTAGCCCGACTTCCAGACATTTGGGATTCTCTTGATGTTTCCTTTCGATGAGGTGTTCCAAATGATTATTCTATACGGTTTAGCACGAAAAAAAAAAAAAAAAAAAAAAAAAAAAAAAAAAAAAAAGCCCATTGCAAGAACCCAAAAATTCGAAACCATCTTCAGGGGTAAAGATTGAGCGGTCATATGTAATAAACTTTCGAAATGATGATTACTTATTTTCTGTAATAGAAAACAAGGTCGTAAGACTAATAAACCAATTTAACCTGCTATATGTCATGACCTTATTATCCTTTTTCGATTGAAAATGTAGGTGCAATTTGACAAATTCGGGAGACAGAGATTAAATCACGCCAATCTTTTGAAACATACCTAAATTGCAGAAGAGACTTCACAGGCGGCCTTTTAAGGATTTCTGGGATAATATCTTGATTCAAATTTGATTGTTGCATATGGCGCTTCCGCTTAGGAGTAGGGAATGACATCTTGATTGTGTGTCTTGGATTAAACTTCCTTTGCTTTTGTTATCTGAAAATAGAAAAAAAAAAAAAGTTATATATTTATACCAAACTCCAATCCTTCCCACTATCCACAAGAAATTTGAATGTAAGTACAAAAGGAATAAAAGCCATACAAATTACAAAAAGATTCCAATAAATATTGCTAGTGCTACATTACTGATTAATTTCAGTATGTATATTATTATAGAATTAATTTATTTTGTGTTTAACTAATTATCTATAAGAATAAATGAATACTTAATTTTTAATCAACTGGGAATAAGAATTTTAAAAAATAAAACTATTCACACGTAGCTATTTTCCACTATCTCTACATACTATCCATCATCCCATTTATCTGATTCATATATCTTTTACTTGTTTTACAATTATTTCTAACTTTATCGCATCTACCTAAGCACAAGGCCATAACAACCTACATAGTTACAATATTACTTGATACTTTTATCAATTGTCACTATATTTGTATTGCTTTATGAAGAAAAAAATTTATTGTCAATTAATTTCATATTTTATACACTGATAAATAAATAGATTTGAACACATTTAATAGCTTTCTAATGAAAATGAAAACTTCTGAATTTTGTTTAGAAGTATATATATATATATATATATATATATAGACAGATATAAAGATCCTAGAGAGATAAAGAGAGAGATAGAGATAGAGAGAGTGAGAATTGTATCAAAATAGCCTAAAAGCTATTTGAAATTTGGTAGGTTTTTTTTTTCTCTCTCCCATTTAATTGCGGACAAGTTTGTAAATGCGGGAGTATTAATTAAGCAACCAAAATTTAGGAAAAATAGAAAATGTATTCAATAAAATATGTTTCAAAATGAATTTGTCTATGTTTTCCAAATTTCAATTTCTTTACCAAAAAAAAAAAAAAAAAAACATTTGCATTTTCACAAGACAATGCATAAACACTCATATTTCATAGCAAAACACATGTAGAATCCAAGAAATCATTTAGTAGGTAAGCAAAATAGATTTTGTAGAGCATGGGTTAACTCTTGTAGACCAAAAACCTTCACTTAACACCACACCAAGCTCCTATCAAAGCTCACCTTCCAAACCCACTTCAAGAACATACCAAAAGATCATAAAGATCCTATCTTTAAGAAAAGACACCTAAGAGAACACTAAAAACACAAGATGGACATGGATCTTACCCTCCTAGATGCCCAAATGTTTGAAAGGTAGAATCTTGGAGAAAACTCTTGAAGTCTTGACAAAGCTTCAACTTGGCTTGGAAGAAAAGCTATCCACCTTTTTAGAGAGAAGGTGGAGCTAGGATTTTGGAAAGTGTAAAGATAGAAATGAGGATGTTCTTACTAGGTTAGGTTACAATACTAACACAAGGTGAAAGGTCAAGAATACCCTTACTAACATGGAAAGGTGTAAGGAACAAGGGAACTCCTTACAAAGCTCAAGGTACAACTTTGACTTCGGGGTTGACTAGTCAATTACTAGTCTCCGACTATTAAATTTTAGGAATTTAAGGAATTAAATTACAAATTGAAATAGGATTAATTACTTAATTAATCCCTTAACCGAATTTGGATTTCGGGGTGTCACAGAGTATATAAAGGGTTAGGGTTTAGACATTTAGACCGGTGGAAATTAGGTTGGCAGACAAAAACAAATTCGATATAGAGAATGGGGCCTATTTGTTTTGCATTTAGAAAAGGTAATGTGTATAAATAAGGGAAATATATGAAATGGAAATGGAATTTTAACAAAGAGGATTTTGGTGCTAATAGAGAGAGCGGGATGTTAGATGGGGAAAATGGTAACGAGCATAAAGGGTTAGGGTTTAGACATTTGGAGTTACAGGAAATTGGATGCCCGAAAAAAAAAATTCTATTCAAAGAATTTGGTATATTTGTTTTTAATGTAGAAAAGGTAAGGACTATACAATATGGAATTGTAGGAAATGGAAATGGAAATAAAAATTCCATACAAAGTAGCCTTTAAAGTATATTTGGTTTACATAATTGTGTTTGGAGGAAAAAGAATAATATTCAATAAGGAATCGAAAAGCGAGCTATAGAATATGAAGTATATATATTTCATTTTTGGTTCTTGAAATGTATATATTTTAGGAATTGTATTTAGGTTTTGGTTCGTTTTAGAAATAGAAATTATGTAAGTATTCAAATTATTGAAATACCATATATAATAAAAGATATTTATTCTCAAGGATAGCATATTCTTGTGAATAGTATTTTTCAAGAATATATAAACTTAAAAAATGATCAAATAAGGGAACTCAGGGATTCTATACCATTTTAAACATATTCAACGAATCAAACGTGTTATTAAAGTTTTAAATTTTGGAGTGCATTTTTTCTCCAATACTTATTGATAACACGTATTCTTTAACTATATTTTACTCCAAACTTTAGCCTATTTTGTGCATAAAGTTCCCTGAATCATGTGTGCATATTGACACTTATTTGCGTGCTTTATTGTCTTTGGCACATTTATTCACAAAAATTAAAGGAAATATTTTGGGGCATTTCTGGTTCATTTTGGAACAACAAACGAAGATCGAGGAGCACGCTAGGAGAATTAACATGGCAAGGGGCATGGCCACTAGGTCAAGGCCGTTCCTGAAATATTTTGCACAACCATGCCTTACATCATGCCAAATTGAGGCAGTGTACACTTCATTTTAGGCCGAATAAGGCACCACCATGCCCTTGGTCGTGCCACTGTGCGTAATCTATCTGAACAATACTGAAACGTGTTTTGTGTTGTAATTTGGGGGAGGCGAACCCTAGCTAGATAATTTCAATCAGCATCCCTTTATTTCCTTTCATCTTTTTGGGCTAGACTAGACTAGCTTAGATTACATATCATCAACATATTATCCAATCTTTTAATCTCGGATTGAAGTCGATTCAACTTCAACATTGCATCTTCATAGAAAACCTTTACATACTCTTTCTTTTATTTCCTCTACAATGTTCATAGTATTCATATGTGCTTTTTACTTGTTCTTCTTTATAAAGTGCGAGTAGTTCAATTTGGAGTTTGGATTAGGGATTAATCCCTTTCGTAAGTGCTAGTTATTTAGATTTTGCATAAAGGGTGAAATACCCAATTCTAGGGCTCACTCTTCTGATGAAGAAGTTTGTTTTTGAATCTTGTTGATTCTTGGTGCACAACAAGGATTAGCTTGTTTTTGGAGAGTAAACCACCGCAATGAAAGTTGGGTGAGGAACTCGAGCTTCCTTCTTGACAATCCCATCTCACATTTCAAAGTTGGGAGATTAAGACCCAAGAATGCCTTTGAGCTTAAGAGTTTGGGATTGAGGCATCACGAAAGTGGGGCAATCTCTTGCACTAATTTTAGGCTGAAAGATCTTTCATTCTAACGCGCATTTTGGGTCACATCGTGAATTAGGTATTTCTCCTTATTTTCCTCTCATTGTTCATGCTCTTAGGATGTGGTTATCCTTAATCTGGTAGAAGGTGTGGCATGAGATAAGGCTAGAGGTCTAGCCATGTTGGAAAGCTTAAACGAGAGTTACGTGTTTTGCGCGATGAGCCAACACTATGTTACTTGCCTTGCACACAAGCTGAAATTTGCAAACACGCAGCACTAACGTTGTAACACAAACGATTTGTAACGCAGATCGGGCAAATAACCCTAATCTGCGAGGCACTTCTCAAGTTGAGAACTTGCCTAAATCCACTAAAAGCTCAATATTTGAAGTACACTGTTTGGAACCTGAGATTACACAATAGAATGATCTTTCCTACCAAACTATTGAAACCTAAACACATGTACTACTTTCTATGAGAATTTAGTATCCTATTCTCAAAGACTCTCGTTCCTCACAAGATTAATGTTGAATGCTTGAGATCTACAATAAAGGACAACCCTTATTTATAGTAGCTATTCCTAACAGATTCGTGAATAACAAACTATTCCTAATCAAAATAGAACTAGAAAATCTTCAACAACAAATCCCCTTAGAACTAGTATTCTTCAATAACTATTCCTCTTAGGACTGATATTCCTTTATAGAACTGGAATTCTTTTTGCACATAACTTTGACAAAATACTTTGAGTCAACATTCTCCCCCTTTGTCAAATTTTTTGCAAACACCTTGGTCTCTTTCTTTCTCCCCCTTAGTTGATGCCACAGTGGTGTTTGATTGATGGTAGATTAATGACAGGTTAGATCACCATCCCATGTGTAGCTTTTATCAGATGATCTTTTCCCCATCATAACACAGTCATGTTTTTTGTTGTAGACTTTACAATTCTCTTTGGAAAATTCTACTTTGAGTTCATCATCACACAGTTGACTTATACTGATAAGGTTTGCTTTGAGTCCTTGTACCAAAAAGACTCTTGGTAATCTGGGCAGTCCATGGACATTCAAGGTACCACTTGCGATAATCTGTCCTTTTCCTCCATCTCCAAAAGTAACATGCCCTTCATTTTTGTACTGGATATTCTC